AGATGCAGCGTCCCATGTGCTCGGTGAAGCCAGAGTAGATGTTCCGGTTGATCTTGGAGACCTTGCGGGTAGGGAAGACGGTAATCGACGGCATTGTCATGGTCATTGTCATTTTGGTCCCGGACCTGTACTGGTGCAGAGCTGTTCGAGTCTTGATCCCCGGAGTTACACCCTCAAACCTCCAATATCAACTGTCCAAGTATCTGTTCTTCCAATACCACGGGGATCCCGATCGTTGATGGGCAAGAATGAGGTCAGGTAGGTAAATCATGTGACGTTTAATCTAGTCAAGGAGAAGTCAGTGACAAGCGACATTGTTGGTTGTCTGAGAAAGGGCCTCAGTGGACGGCAAAAGTCCGCCGGGGTTGAGCTGCTCATGATATCTTCCCAGTGGATAATGCTTGAATTTCCACGCGAGCAGATTGATATTATCCGCCACCCGGACCGTGACAGGGACCTGAGAGTGTCAGGAAAACACCCGCGGAGCCAATTGACGGGGCATGGGAAACGAGTGGAAAGAGGCCAAAGTCACCTTCCTGGACCATCCCTGACCCTCCCACCGGGGAACTTCCATTTTGGGACATTCGCCTCATCTCTCTCTCTCTCTGTTTCCCACCGGAGCTTCATTCCTTTCATTCCCTTTCCCCCACAAACCACAAAACAGTTTTTCCCTGCTGTTCTGGTGGTCCGGCACAAAGCTTTGACGAACCCCCCTTCGGCATTTCGCTGTATTAAGGACATTGTCATGTATCTCCGCAATCCCATCTTCTGCTGGTCTCGCTAGACCCAAACAATTGCGGGTTGGTGGCGGGGATTCGCACCGTCTCGACTGGGAAAAACTGCGGGATCAAGCGAAGCATCACGCGGTGAGCTTGACAGTGCGACAATAATGGGCGATGAGACTCTGTGAAGGGATCCACATTCATATATTGTCTGTGGACTCCGTCGATCTATTTGATTCCTCTTTGCCATCTTTGAGGTGAGACCTTCACGCAGGTTCCAGACATCTACCTTTTCCTCGATTCTATTAACTTGGGACCCTTTCTGACTGTCTCCGTTATACTTGGACAAGTCGCCCGTCATGGCGCTACCTCCCAAATGGTATCAGTTCCTCGTCGGCGTCTTCGCCTCGCTTGGTTCATACCTGTACGGCTACGACCTAGGAGTCATTGCAGAAGTCGTGGCCAGCAGCACCTTCAAGGCCAAATTCGCGGCAGATGACACCCAGACAGGCCTGGTAGTCTCCATGTTCACCACGGGGGCCTTCTTCGGGGCGGCCCTGGCCGGACCCAGTGGCGACTATCTCGGCCGTCGATGGACCATTGTCCTGGGATCGATCATCTTTTGCCTGGGCGGTGGCTTGCAGACCGGCGCACAGAACATCAGCTACCTCTGGTCAGGCCGATTCCTAGCCGGACTAGGCGTCGGATTTCTCGTCATGATTGTTCCTCTATACCAAGCTGAGCTGGCTCACCCCAGCATTCGAGGGCGCATCACGGCGCTGCAGCAGTTCATGCTTGGTGTGGGTGCGCTGGTGGCTTCGTGGATCTCGTGGGCGACAGTATGTCATCCCCGCTTCTCTTCGATTGACACAATTAACACGAGATCCGACAGTTTGTCCATATTCCAAACAGCAGCGCCCAATGGCGAGTTCCGCTCGGTCTGCAAGTTATCCCTGCCGTCTTTCTGGGCCTTTTGATCTTCCTGTTCCCAGAGTCTCCCAGGTATGGATAGCTAGCTTTACCCCCCCACAAACTGGGGCTATCATCTTCCTCCTCCTGCTAACCCTATCTCCAACACCAGATGGCTCATGGACCACGACCGACCGGACCAAGCTCTGAAGGTCTTGGCCCAGCTTCACGCCCACGGCGACGAAAGGGATCCCTGGGTGATTGCCGAGTACGAACAAGTGCAGACCTCGATCGCGCACGAGCACCAGTACGAGGCGAAGTCGTATCTCGAACTGTTCCGGTCTCGATCGGCCTTCCGCCGGCTCTTCCTCTGTTGTGCCCTGCAAGCGAGCATCCAGATGACAGGCGTCTCGGCGATCCAGTACTTTTCGGTCGAAATCTACGGCCAGATCGGTATGGTCTCTCCTCTCTCTCCGTTGACGAAATACCCTGACGGTTGTTGCAGGCATCTCCGGCAACGACACGCTCAAGTACCAGGGCATCAACAGCATCATCGCCCTGGTGGCGCAGTTCCTGTGCATCCTGTGCATCGACCACACGGGCCGTCGCTGGCCCCTGATCTACGGCAACCTCGGCAACATGGTCACCTTCATCGTCGCCACTATTCTGCTTGCGAAGTTCCCTCCCGGGGTGTCGACTAACAAGGGCGCCCAATGGGGATTCATCATCATGACCTGGCTGTACAACTTTTCCTTTAGCGCGACGTGTGGGCCGTTGTCGTGGATCATCCCGGCGGAGGTGTTTGATACGCGGACGTGAGTGCTCCCATCGCGCCTTTCGAAATCTTGTGATGTCAAGAATGAAAAAGGGGGAACTGTTCCCCCCCCCAAAAGAGCTGTTGTGTTCATGATACTAACGTGTGTCTGATGATCCAGTCGAAGCAAAGGCGTGAGCATCGCCACCATGACCAGCTTTGCCTTTAACACGATGATTGTACGTTTTCTCTTTCTTCTCTCCTCTCTTCCATCCTCCTGGATCCTTTTCTCCCTCTCTCCCCGCTGGCCTAACATTAAAGATACTAACGTGGTGGTGGTGGTTGTTACGGTAACTACAGGGTCAAGTCACCCCCATCGCCATGACCAACATCGGCTACCGGTTCTACTACCTCTTCATCGTGTGCAACCTGACCAACGCCGTCTTCTTCTGGCTGTTGCTGCCCGAAACCGCCCGCCGCCCGCTCGAGGAGATGAATTACCTGTTTGAGCACGCGCCGTGGATCGTCGTCGGCACCACCAGGGACAGCTACGCCAGCCACGATCTGGAGAATCGCCTGCACGAGATTGCGGCCGAGGCTGAGGTCAAGAGGGCGGGCGGGGTCGGGGTCGAGGTGTTGCACGAAGAGAAGGTTTCACGGCCGCAATCATAACGAAAAGAGGTGATGAGAATGATGATGATGATAGTATTGGGACGGTGGTGACAGTGATGGTGATGGCGACGGTAACGGTGGCGCTGATGATGTGTGTTGCGATGCATGTAGATGCGCGTACCTTGGATGGGTGAATCAATGAAATTGACTGATCCGGTCTGATATGATGGTGACTTGAGTTTGAAAAGGGGTTCAGCATGCGTACGGTGCATACAGTATCACATACACACCCAAATACAAAATACATCTACATATACGGGTATGCTTGTTTGTTTGTTTACTTGTTCCACCCCGGAACGACCTGGCCATACCCTTCGTCGAGCGGCTTGACGGCCCTCTTCCACGCTTCCCGGCCACTCACGGTGTCCCACCACCTCTTCAGATTGGGTCGTCCCTCGAAAAGCTCCAGGCACCGACTCGCGGTGAACATGCACGGCATGTACAAGATATCCGCCAGACTGTACTCGGTGCCTCCCATATATGGTAGCTCGGATAGGGCCTTGTCAAGCACGTCCAGACAGTTCAAAAGTTTCGGCTTGTGTCTGGCGATGACGGCTTCGTCGGTGGGTTTGCCTAGTGCGCTGGATCACCGTGGGTGTTAGGGCGTTGATGATATGATGTGTATGGGTGGTGAGGAAGTCTGATGGGAAAGACGGATAGAGATATACAGGGGGGGGGGGGTTCGGTCAAGCTTACGGTCGAATGATGGTCTCGCTAATCACCGGCGCGACGTGGACGTCAAACTCGACCGCTTCGAGGATCAGCCTCATCTCCCAGACGCCACGTGTCCCAGCGTCGGTTCCCTCGGAGGGAATCAATCTCGGGCCAACAGCCGCATACTTCTCGCACAGATAGCGAGCGATGGCGCGGGACTCGAAGATCACAACGTCACCGTCCTCCAGCAGTGGCACTCTCCCGAAGAGAGACTTTTCGCGGAAGTCTTCGGTCTGTCGATGGCCCTCGTTAGCAACGCACGACTTTCGGGTTGAGGGAACGACGACTCGCCTTGTGCTTGCCCCCGATGAGGTCGGCTGGGATCATTTCGACATCTTCGATGCCTTTCTCAGCCAACACGTGCTCCACCCGCACGCAGTTCCACGACAGGGGTGATGTCCAGAGCTTGACAGTCATGGCTTGGGATTGATCGGTCTCTTATTCCTCGCGCTTTGCTTGTTGGTTAAGGGTGCTGATGAGATTTGGAGCACTCATACACAGACGACTGAATGGCTCTTTAAGTACATCCCTCGGCCTTGCCCGTGCCATGACGTTTCCTCTCCCCTGGTCAGAGGCTTTTGGCTTCCATCTTTGTCTTGAATGTTCTCTCCGTCAACTCACACAGTATACGAAGTGCCGAGTTGGGCGCCTTGAGACGTTGTGCTCCTCGGCGTAACATTTGCCCCGACCACGCTCGTGGACCTTAACGTTATCAGCCTCGAGTGTAAATAGATGTCACCTTGATTCTGATACCAAAGACATTGCAGCATAACGTTTATGGATTGGTTGGCTGTTTTAAGAGTCATCTGGATGTTTGAAGGTGTATTTCTGGTGTCGAAATTGGTAGGAATGCCTGCTTTGTTAGTGTTAGTCCCGGGACAACATAACGAGACGTGTGTCGTGCCTCCTGTTATGCCTTCCAGGCATTACGACATGTTTCTCGAAATGATTCAAGAGGGTGATTGCTCTGGGGGATATACCATGTGTAGAAAGAGCTGCACTTCCTTGGGTGAGGAAAAACGACCGTCTCATTCTGCGGCTGTCATTCCGCATGATTCGTACGACTGCGAGTCATACAAATATCCAGTATTTGTACACAGTATAGCCAATCAGGAACGCTGGCCACACTTTACGCTTCTCATAAGCTTGCCGAGCCCCAGGGGCCATCACGATGCAGTCAGAACAAGCCTCTGGTACTCCCAAGCCCTGGCTGCCATGGTGCGAGAGGCTCAATCGGTAATCTGATCGAAAACTGCTGAGCCTATGTCACCGACAATTTCAGTCTTCAGCCCTTTCTGTTTGGCATCCAGGTACCAGGTGACGCCAGTTGCAAGTACCTTGATGGTCACCTCAGCGACCGAGACTTCCCAGGAGGAGGCCTGGTAGATCCAGCGTCAGATATCGATGGCTTCTGACCACCACTTCCATGATCGAGGGTAAGCGGCGTGGGCTGGGAGTCAACTCACCTGAAGCTTGCACAGGCTCTCAAAGTCCAGTGTCTTGCTCCCTAGTTGTTGTTGGATTGCTTTGGCCTTGTCGGTACAACTCCACCCCCAAAGGTCCTTTTCAGTCTTCTCGACCCTATATACCACCGACACAACCAACCACACAATGATATGTACCAGAGCGTACAGTCGGCTGAAATATGCTCCCTTGTGCTTGGCTTTGCACCAAATGACACAAAGCACAACCAAGGCAGATATAGAAGTGATGATGGAAGCGACAGCTAGCATGATAGTCGGCCAGAGGATGGTGCCCATTGCCCACGGTCCCCAAGGTCGACCCGTGACGAAGAGGTTCTTGGTTGCGTAGAATTTGTAGAGGGTATAGATCATGATTGATTCCATGATAATCGAGAGTAGTGCAGAAATGACATTGGTGGTTGCAGACGCGATCCTGGTCCACTTTCGAAACCTGTGGTATTGTCTCTGGAGGAATTCGCGCTTGGGATTGACCTCAGCTTTGCTCTTCTGCATGGATGCGTGTCGCTCATGGCTCCGCAGGTTATCAGGTATCATCTCAGTCCAGCTGATGTGGACCTCTGATTTCTTATAGTTGTCTTCTGGGCCACCGCGAGGGGCTTTGGGTACTGTCTGCAAGGGTTGTGATGACATGATTCTTCGAGCAGGCTCAGGAAGGCTGATGATGATGAGAAGACATGGTGAGAATGTTATCCAGCGTCTGGAAAGATGAACTTATATCAAGCTGGCGGATAGGGAACAAATCGACAACCAGGGGCAAGCAAGAGGCGCAGCAACGAAGATCCAATTCATGATGACGATGTAGGTTGACGTCTGTCGAGTTTCGAAGAATTTGAAATATGCAGATGAGCATTATTCAACGAAATCCCTTGACGCAAAATGTCGGGCTGAGCCGAACAAGGCAGGGACAGGCATATGTGATACATACCTGTTCCAGTTAGCGAGGGCCTAGATCCACGCACCCACTCTCCTTTCTGGGTGGAACTGGAGAACAAAATGCTGGAAGGAGTCAATTCTGGGCAAACTGCATGGTGCTGGATGCTGGACAATGACTGGGTAGAGATATTATCAAGCTTCCTGGTGTAGTCCAACAAAGCGTATTCCCTGACGGATATGATATGCGATACAACCTGGAGACAACAAGGGTCAAGCGTGCAAGGATACTTGTAGTCCTGAAACCGCTGCGGATACCGTATACGTCACAGTATTGATATCCATCGCTTACCATGGCGGAAAGCCTTTTGCATATAAGCTGTGAAGTCCTTCTCCTTGGAACTCCGAATGCTGATCTTTGGTGCATCGTGGAATGCGAGTTTGAAGCTTACCCCAGATCAGTAGCTCAGTCCACTGTCTGATTTAGGGCCTGGGAATAGGCAAACTGACGTAGCGGTTGCTTGGCCAAAGGTTGGATTTGAAGTAAAGGTGAATTCTGTCAGGCTTTCGACGGGTGATCAAACAATGTGTGTGACAGCAGAGAATTGTCTTGCATTTGGCCCCTACAGACTCTACCATATTCTGTCAGCAATATTGGTACTGAGACTACAATCCGCCATATCGATTTCAATGGCAAAGACAAGTAGTTGGCTGATCGGCTCATTGAAGAAAACATGCCAAAGCGACATGGCTTATAGCCGGTGGTTGGGTGTTAACCTGCCGCTCCTTTGGATGTCAAACTGGTCGCGGGCTATTGAGCAGTGTCGGAGGAGCCACCAGTAGATCTTTGGCAGAGTATTGTGGTAAGATGATCTAGATGATGCCTTTTCACTTGCCACAACTCCAACGCAAAGGCATTTGTACCCGTCACCACCTAATTCAAGGTACACTCGGCCAGTTGTTGGCACAATCGCAACCATATGGAGGCGTAGGTAAGATCACCTCCCAGCATTCCCGAACCCTCACCAAAGTTGGCAGGGATTCGCCATAATGGCGTATGTGAGGATTGAGCCAGACAATAGCTGAATCTGTGATGGGCGGTGGTAGCAGTTGCTCGGGAATCCGGGGGCTGGCGGTTTATAACTGCGCGTTCGTCATTGAGCTGAGTGACACTTTCTGGGTTTAGCCATCCTCGGCTCGATGACAAGGGTTTATGTTTCAGCCTGTGACCGGTGGTAAGTAAGAGATGAGGGGTTTGCAGGCGAGATGGATGCCACGAGTGTTTCCACAACAACGGCGCAGAGGCAGAGGTGCAAGAGGCAGAGATGGAAGAACATCGAACGCGCAGGCAATATACTCCGCCGTATTTGCTGCTTGTGCAATCATATGATCCACCGTACCTAACCCCTAGCACCGATCCAAAATCCCGCACTAAACCGCATTAAGTTCTCGAGGCTTTTTGCTAGAAACTCGTCAAACTCTTCTGCGACAATTCAACCGCGACAACCACCCTTCTGACACGCCTCATCACTGGCCGGTCGTCTCACGCAAATGAGGCCATCCTCCCCCAGTCCTCTGCCACGATACTGAATGCAGGATCAACCTAATCCTCCTTTAGGCTTTTTGAGGGATTTTGGGCACTGCTGGGAGATTGGTTTGATCTTTGGGCTTGGTCTGCAAGTCATTATTAGACGATCGAAGGAGGAGGGGTCAGGGTGGCAGGGGCAGGTAAGATCAGTTTGATGATCTAGTACCATAGATGACCGCGGTATGAGACATGTGGTTGGCATTGATATATAAGTACATACGATGTGTGCGAGGACATGGAAACTTGATCGTGCTCAGAACTCTCAAGAAACCAAACCAACCAAGTGTCCCAGTTGACAATTTACTCTTTTTTGCCGTTTTTAAAGAAACCTCAGCGACAATTGACTCGCACCGCTCATTTTACAGTCACCATGCAGATGCTCTTGCGGATTCTCTCGTGTACATTCCTTCTTTTTATCGTCCACACGACAGCGTCTCCTTTGTGGTGGGATGACCGCCCGGAGCCACCGTCCAGCACGACCGGCGACTTCAGCTACCCGATCCGCCCTCGCGACCCGGCCAACACGTCCGTCAACCCCGAGGCCGTGACGGGGACGACATGCATAGACCCGACCGTGAACCTCAACACACACGATACCAACGTCGCGATCCTGTCCATCTGCGGCGGCATCGCAGGCTCGATACAATTTTGTGGGGGCGACCCTTCGACAACTGTGGGGGCCTCGGGAACCTCAAAGTTTACATTGACAGCCGTAAACGCTGCCGAGGGCGCCACGATCAACGTCAGCAAGGGGAGGTGGGAAGGCTGCGTAAGAGCGGCGCGGGCGGTGTGTCCGACGGGGACGTTCAGCAGCACGTGTGTGGGAGGGACGAGTGACGGGGATGGGTTTACCTTTGTGTTGAGTAAGAACAATTGAGGATCAAAATCCGGGCAGTTTATGGCAATTTTACAAAGCGACGATGATGTACAATGACGAACCAAACTTTTTTTTTTTCACAACAATCATGTTCTTGCTTGAAGTTTAAATGCGATGTTGGCGAGAGTTCGCATAGTAGCAATACGACCGATGGTTTGATCTCCATCATAGATCTCAAACGCGTGTCTCTTGGGCTTGTCAGACAGGACTTTCAGCTTGATTTTCGTGATATTATGTGACGATAATGGACACAGCACGACAGGTCAAGACGGGACGCTACTCGTTACTCGATTAGATTGGTATACTCCCTTAAGGGTCTTGAGAAGCAGTCACCCTGAGGTTGCTCCTGGGGGCTCTGCAAGATCAGAAGCATAGCAGATCTAATAACCCTGACTGGGCCATGAGGTTCTAATATCTTGTTATCTGAGGAATAGTATAAGGAGAAACTGTTTGAAGAAGTGGTCGTAATTCATCAAGAACCGAAATACCCAATCAAACTCCTCCGCCTGCTCGACCTCTGCGTCTCAAACATTCTACCAACTGTACCACGTAGAATTGTTGAATTTTTGGGCAGTGTTCTGTTAGCCCATTGGCAAGTATAGTACGTGCCTGCTTCTAGAAAGGAAAGAAGATGGTCTTCTCCAAAGCCAACGAGGAAGGAAATAGAACTATGTACAATCAAAATACCCTGAACTTGCCTCAGCGGCTTCGAGTTTGAGCCATAGCAAAGGTGTCGAAAACGGGGCATGATGGTGCCTCAACGTCCTGTTCTGCTTGAATCAGGTTGTCCATCCACGATTCGTTGTTGAAGGGCATCTGGTACTCTAGCTGAGGAACAGGTTCCGCAACGCGTGGTATCATCCCAGGAACTGTGCTGTCGACGTAAACGTTTGGCTTGGTCAAGACCTCGCGGGCGAATTTGGCCACTTGTCCTTTGGCAATGGTGGCCCGCGGCCAGACCTCACCGAATGACCCAAGCGCCGAAATGCCGAGCTGCAGCCGTTCTTTGATTGCCACAAGCTGATCCGGTGTGTCCACTATTGCGTATGCCGGCAGGTGTACTGTTGCAGCAGTGGTCAAGCCGCACATCAGCACCGGCGAGCACATCTTGACATCTGTCTGGATCGATGCCAGATTGGTAATGGCATTTGCGGCTCGTAATGCTTTGGCAGTATGTGAGGTGTAAGCCAGTGCGGGAAGACCAGCAGCCTCCGCCTTTGTACATGTCGTGCGATAGTGGTTGCGAATGAAGGTCAAGGTTGATCGCGGACGGTGCAGACAGATGGCAGCCCAATGGATAACTAGATGGGCGATCAAAAGACACTCGTCGACGGTCCCGTCATTTCGGACCACTTCTCGCTTGTCCATAGGAAGGGATAGTAAGAGATTTGAAATGGCGGCGTCGATGCCTTCAACTTGAGGATCTGTAACCGCAAATGTGTCTGGGCTCAAGGCGAGCACAGAGCCGAGGAGATACGCTCCTTCGATGCAGTAGGCAAAGGATGAGTATTCGAAAGTGTCTTCTGAAAAGGTCCTGTTCCGGAGGTCTGCAATTGTACGGGTTATAGGCGGCGATCGAAGTTCGTTGTAGTCTTCATCGTGGCCGGGTAAAGCCACGTCGGTGTAGGTCGAGTACAGTCGGAATGGGGATGATTGACCCCCAATGACTACGACCAAGCCTTCGATCAATAGGAGTGTCCACCACGTCCTGCGCCATGATTCCTGCATTGTTGAGTCGTTAGGAGACTGCTGCAAAGCATAGCTCTGCCGATTGAGCCCAATCCGCAGGGTGATTTCGATGGCTTTGTCCAGGGCCATGGACCCCTCGCCCTGCCCGAATCGAGCGAAGCAAGTCATGGCGTAGAGAAGGAGGCCCTGCACCTTGAAGCCATCGTCAGGCACTTCGGGGGCAAAGATGGCCTTTGCCGCATTCTCAAGAGCGGCATGGTTGGCTTGGGGGATGTAATGGCTTGCCAACCAGCGCATGCATGCCTTGAGCGGACCCGGCAGGATGGCAGGATTTTGGAGGTAGAGCTTGCGAGGCACGATGAAGGGGTGCGAAGGATAGAAATGCTTGTAGAACAGGTCGATCAGGTCGGTGCTCTCTATCAAGGCGCGGTCGGCAGGAGCAGGCAGTATATCTCGTGTGATAGACATAGTCGACTCGCTGTTGCTGGGACTTGGCAGCTGTTCTTTGACGGGTGGTGCGGTCTGTAACTCGAGAGGAAGAGCTGGAAAGGCTGGATCCATGGTGGGTTGGAAGAGTTCGGCGTAGGTCATGGCCCTCAGCTTGGTAGTATCAGCCTCGTTAAAGACATAGGCCTCCTGAGACAGAAAAGGCTTAGATTCGTGCATGATGGTATCATTCTTCGGCCTCTGTTCAGTCTTGTCTTCAGGACTTGATTGGGCTTTGCGAAATTCTCGGTATCCTCTTCGGGAATTAATCCAGGTACAGTCCCCGTTTTTCTCGGAGCACCTGCTGCAAAGCGGCTTCTGGCCATCGCATTTGAGATGGCTCTTCCTGCATGGAATGCAGGCGAGAAGGCTTGGATGCTTCGATCGGCTTTTACTGGGGCCCGGATTGACATTAGTAGCTTCGTCGGTGGACATTTTCGGTTTCGCCTCAGATGGCAATGTAGATGAATGGCGGTCTAATATTCCCTAAGGAGAAAGGGGGGGGGTCGACAGGTCACAGGAACCGTGGTGAGGATGTGGCTTCCGGCTCGCCGCGCGTTATTTGTGCCTTGGATTGAATGGCAATAGGTAATGGCTGCTTAGCTTGACAGCCCCAGATCAGCGTTGTTTCGCGTCCTTTGATGGTCCCCGGGGGGCAACTGGTCGCTGTGAGCCTTGGGAATTTGGGATAATGCCACGATGGGCTGACTCAGGGAACCAGCGGATGGTGGGAGGAGGAGGTTGTCGGGGACTTGGTGGAGACGGGGACGCCACCCCTCGTGTTGGAGACGGAAACTATGGCGACAATTTTTAGCCCTAGCGCCTAAACCGTTGAGTATTAGCGCCGACCACGTGCGCACAAAGATGATAGGGAAATCAAAGGGGCCAAATCTGTCTGACAAGGCCAATTTCTCGTCTTCACCTCACCTCCAGCCAGGGAGTTCTACTAGCATCTGTCCTCTACTGCCCTCGACTGAGATCATGTTGTCGCAACAGAGCTCTCACGGACACTCTCCATCGCACTTCCGGCGGTTATACACCCCATCTGCTCTATTCTTGACCACTTGCATATGCAGCAAAGAACCCGCGGTGTCCTCCGTCCCTCGTCCTCTCTTGTGTCAGACCGGTCCTACGCCGACAAGGGTCGTGAAACCCGACGTTCCCGAAAGCTGACCCCATCCGCCCAATGTGAAACGGATCTGACAAGAAAATGGCCTGATACCAAGAGATGGGAATCCCGCACACAAGCAAGGGGGCGTTCCGGGGGCTTTGATCTAAGGACTCGAAACGATTATGTACAATGACTCTGTTCAGATCCCCGAAGAGTTCGCTTGCCACGCGTTGTGGACCTGAACACTCTTATCCATTCAGGGATGTTGGATGCAAGTCCCCGATATGATGCTGTATGTACAGATATCCTGTTTGGCTACGTGGATGCGCTTTGCCTGAAAGATCTATGACCGGGTATCGGGCTTGGGGTCCTTGGTGACTTGGAAGTCGGGCAGCCCGACCGTCTCAGCCAGCCTCGCCGAGACTCACAATTCATTCCCGAGCATCTGGTGCTTTGCTTGGCTATGGATGGTCGACCACAGTCTCCTATCAACATAGGGCTGTGCAAATTACGAGGTGAGGTAGGTCGCTGACCTCTCTGCGCAGGCTGTTGGGGATGAAGATGATGGTCCCCCGAAGGCTGAAGACGAGGAGCCGGCCTGACCTTGGAGAGCGTGGGTTGATTACCTCGTGGCGTTTTGTATACTTCGGCGTCTGTGCATTTGGAAGAAATTGATTGAGATCTTATAAGATGCTGTTGAATTGCCCTTCTGTCTTGAGAGTCCGTCATGCTATCCTGTCCCGTTTCCAAGTTCTACATTGCATCCCTCCCCTCGAGCATCGTCAGATATCGACCTCCCGAAGCATACTGGACAAGAGGTCCAAGTTGCTATGCCCACGCCCCAAGACCTCGTTCTCCCGTCAGACTCCCTGAAGGACCCTAGTGACATGACAATGGATCTGGAAAAGGGCCCTGAGTTGACACGCCACCTGACAAACAGCGCAGTATCCACATTCTCCTGGTCAGACGTCGGCGTCGTCGTCAAGGATAGGAAGACAAAACAGCCTCTGCATATTTTGACGTCCAGCCATGGTTCGGTCAAGGCAGGGAGTGTCCTCGCTCTCATGGGCCCTAGTGGAAGCGGCAAGACCACTCTTCTGAATGTGCCTGCTCATCGCACGTCTACGATGAAGGGCGAGATCCAGGGGAAGATCATGATCAACGGCCAGCTCACCAACGCAGCCGCCGTTCAACAGGTGTCTACATATGTGGAACAAGAGGACGCCATGATCGGCATCTTGACACTGCGAGAGACCATCGACTTCGCCGCCAGACTCTCCATGAACGGGCAAATATCCAAGAGAGACAGACTTGCGAGGGTCAACGAGCTCATCGAGTCGTTCGGCCTCCAACGTCAGGCAGACACCATTGTCGGCACACCCCTGCGCAAAGGTCTCAGCGGCGGCCAGAAGCGCAGACTGAGCGTCGCCAGCCAGCTCGTCACATCCCCTCGCGTGGTCTTTCTGGACGAACCCACAAGTGGTCTCGACTCGGCGGCCAGTTTCGAGTGCATGAAGTACATAAGACAAGTGGCCAAGCAGCACAACCTGATTGTCATCGCGTCGATCCACCAGCCGTCGACCACCACCTTTCAGTTGTTTGACCAGCTGATGCTTCTGTCTGGGGGCCGCACATGCTATTTCGGCCCCGTGTCCGACATCCAACCCTACTTTGAGCGCATCAGCCGTCCGGTGCCGCTGCAAATCAACCCGGCCGAGTTCCTCCTCGACCTGGTCAATAGCGACTTCGGCCACAGCACAGGCGCCGATGAGGGCAACCTCCGCTACATCCAAGACGCATGGACAAGCTCCGAGGAATGCAAAGCCCTGGAGGCCACCACGAGCGGCACGGACGCTCTGGGAAAAGCCGGCAAGCCAGTGGCCTCTTCTCGGACATCGTCAAAGAACGTCGCCGCCGTGTCCTGGGTCCTGTTGCAGCGGAACTTCATCAAGTCGTACCGCGACTTCATCGCCTACGGGACCCGCGTGGTCATGTATTTCGGGCTGGCCATCATGATGGGCACCGTCTGGCTGCGCCTGTCGTACTCGCAGAGCTCGATCCAGCCCTTCACCAACGCCATCTTCTTCGGCGGCGCCTTCATGTCCTTCATGGCCGTGGCGTACGTGCCCTCCATCATCGAAGACCTCCACACGTTCAACAAGGAACGCCAGAACGGCCTGTACGGCCCGCTGCCCTTTGTTATTGCAAACACTCTCATCGGCGTCCCCTGGCTGTTCCTCATCGCCATCATGTTCTCCGTCGTCACGTACTGGCTGGGCCACTTCAACCCGACCGCCGAGGGCTTCTGGATGTGGGTGTTGTGGCTGTTCCTGGACCTCCTCGCCGCCGAAGGCCTGGTGGTTCTGGTGTCGTCTCTCTTCCCCATCTTTGTCGTTGCACTGGCCATCACGGCGTTTGCGAATGGGCTGTGGATGTGCGTAGACGGGTTCATGGTGCCGATGGGCAAGCTGAATCCCTTTTGGAAGTGTGAGTCTTTACCCTCCTTTTCCTCATTTTACCGTTGTGCCCGAAGTTGCCTCGTTACCCTTCCGTGAACACATGGCCAGCGACCATGTACATTTACTAACCATTTTCTATCTTCACATCTACTCCACAGACGTCTTCCACTACATCGACTACCAAGCCTACGTCTTCCAAGGCATGATGGCGAACCAATTCCGCTCTACCATATGGGACTGTGCGAGGATAATCCCTTCTCCGGATTCAACCCCAGGCTCGTCCTCATCCTCAGGCTCAGTCTCAAACTCAAGTACCGACTCGGCCTTCCAGTGCATGTACCCCTCGGACCTGTCGTCGAGCGGCAAGATCCGCGGCACCGCCGTGCTCGAGGCGTACCGGTACTCGTGGTCGTCGGACGCCGTGGGGGAGTGGATCGGCATCATGTTCGCCATCATCCTGGCGTATCGCGTGCTGGGGTACCTGGTCCTGGTGGTCAAGAGGCACTAAACTCTATTGTCTCTTTGTTATTCGGTGGTCCACTCAATACTGAGTACCGAGTATGATGTTTCTTTTTTTCTTGTGAAGCCACAATAGATAATTGTGATGGGCTCCAGTTGGGATTGGGCGTTGAGTTTTCACAGAGTATGTATACTGTAAATAATCAGTGGCTGGCCCCCTGGTATTGATTGGGTTGGATTGTGCAGTCTGAGGATCTTTCCACCAGGAACGAGCCAGAAGTGAGACGCATTGTGCCTCGCTCAAACAGCGCACAATTGATTTGTGTCTTCATCATCTACAGTGCTCATTTTCGCCGCCAGTCGAGGGTAGCTTCTTCCGTTCTAATCTACCTAGAGCCTGGCAATAAATCAGCGGGGTGACTTTGCGCCCAAACACGACCTCGAGCGACAGCACGTATCCCAATTCCAGCGGCTCCGAGACCTGAAAGGCATTAACCATACAAGACGTCCCCTTGAACCCAGTCACAACGCCGTAAGACCCATCGCTGCCATTACCAGCAATTCAGAATACCGAGATTCCTAACCGACGTCACTCACAAACATGGCCGCAGAATAAACGTTGCCTCGTCATTGCTGTCCGGAGTCGGGTGCCGCGCGTTCACTTGCCATCCTCTTCCTTGCTGCCTTCGTGCACGGACGGCAGTAGATAATCCCACAAAGGGTACATTCGGACAAAGGCTGCGATTTCCAGTCATACTTTTTGGTTCGACGCTCCTCCTCTTCCACAGCGTCACTCATGGCTGGCTGGCTGGTTGTGGAAGGCGTTTGATGGCACGATTTATCCTGAAGTCCTGGATTCTTAGCTTCCCCGTCCGGGACTTTGACCTTGTTGAAACAGCCCATACATTCCACTCGCAAGTCTGGGTCTTCTGCAGGAGTCGCATCGACCAACCAGAATTCAGGTATGCGGTCCTTTCCAAAAGCTCGGAAGTGGTGTCGACATCCCCATGTATCCCAAGCCTCGTCCGTCGGCTCGTCACCAAAATTCAGGCTTACTCCTTCCCAGTCATTTTCGTCCGGATTGTCCAGATTCTCAGGCGACGCGGCTGCTGTATCTTCGGCAACTGTTGGCTCGCTTGCAGGCTGGTCTGTTTGCAGGGCCTGCGTACCATTCTGGTTATCCTGGGTGTTCATAAGCTCTGGCGGTCCCCTGCTTGCAGCTTGGTCTACCGTTGTATCTTGAGCCTCATCCTGGGTATTGGCGGTGCTGCGGAGAAGGATAGGATCTTGTGGCGCCTGCACTTGCGTACCATCGTTTATCCCACGCGGCTCTGGACCAGACGAAGAAGCACCCATTTCATCCTCCTCTTCGTGCTCAGACTCGGGCTCTTCATCTCCTCCTTCCGAGTGCACGCCATCATCTCTGGCAGCACTACAAGGCTTTTGATAGCAGGCATTCATTGGTCGTTGGCAGTCCCAACACCAGTGCGCGCCACATTGGCACCTGATGTGAGGACAACCAAACATTTTCATAACGCCAGTTCCGCACTTGGGGCAGACCTTGTATTCGTATGTCTTCAGAATGAATTGTCGAGATTCGTCTTCTGCGCAAACATGCTCGCCTTTGGCACTCTGTCTACACTTTGCGCAGATAGCAGTCTTGCAGACGTGGCATGTGACCGTCCTATCGGTTTGATTGAACATTCGAGGAGGGATAAAAGCCGAGCAGGTTGGCACGGGGCAGTACAGAGGATCAATGGTGTTAAATTCGTCGAACTTTTGCTTGTATCTTTCGACTTCTGCTGTCGGAAGGATTCCACGTACGACCTCGTGGTGCATGACGATGGCGCAGCACATGACGGGCATCCTGTCGATATATTTCATGGCTGTTCGGAATTGGGTCCTGAGACACTCGTAACATGTTGCTTCTTTACACCGTCGACAAGGGGTGGAATAGGGCCCATCGATATCGCCAAAGCAGATTTTGCAGACGATCTTCTTGTTGGGCGGCGATTTCTTGAGGCGCTTCCGAGGAGGGGAGATGTCTGATGCTGGAGGTGGAGGAAGTGCTACGGGGTTTCGTGTGCGGCCAGGTTCAAAGAGCTCGGACTGAGGTTCAGTAGAGTCTCCGTGGTAAGGAAAAAGATTGTATTGGTGGCCTGCGACGGTGATATAAGGGTGGTCCACCAGGGCAGAGGAGGCATCGGCAGCAGTCGAAAAGGCGTAAACCCAGTCGTAGAAAGCGTGTCCATCTGGACCTACACCCAGTCGAACTCCCTTGAAACCGAGATATCCCTCTGAGCCAGCAAATGGAGGATTGATTTCAGTGAAGGGATGGTCTGGATCGAGAACGGCGGTACGGAGAGCGATTAGTGGCGAACCCTGGCCGGCCATGGTGTTTAGAAGAAGGAGGGTGTCGTTGTCGTCATTTGGAAAGGAAGTAGGATCCAAGACAGAGGCGTCCGTGGGAGAATCCGATTTCAAGTTGGCAGCAGCAGGTTGAGGGCCAAGGCCACTGGACGAGGGAGCGGCAGGCGCCCAAGGTGGGGTAGAGGGGTTGGAAGAGTGAAGTCGTGTGAAAGGACGATGGCGGAACAGGCGCCAGACAAGTGAACAGGCCATGGAGTGAATGTTGAGGAGGAGGCCGCGGGGGGAGAGGGTTTGAAGGCTGCGCTATATCAGGCTGAGAGGCATAAGGCTGACTGGCTGGCGCGATGCAACTTCCAAGCACTAAATGTATACGAGAGAAGTTATCAAGTAGAGAGCAAAGGTGAAAACTGTTAGGTACAACAAGACGTTACGATGTAGGGGGAAGCCTTTTAAGCATCGTCGCCCTGTTTCTTAGAACAAAGGTCTGTGAGTCGTAAATTATCAGAAGGATTCTGCTTGAGTCACTTGGTGATTGCGAGTGGGATTTGGCAGGCACCAATCTGGCCAAGACTTCATTGGCCAAACGCGTGAGGCTGTACTCGGTTATCAGGGGGGCTGAGAGGCCAGCTGCCTGCAGGTGCCTCATTTTCCCGATTGACTTGGGAATCCTTCAAGCTTGATGTTAAGGATGTCATTGGATTGTCATGGTTGAGACCATCTAGGCATGACTCCTTACTGCATGCACCAGCCACCGCCGACTCGTACAATGGGGAAGCGAGATACAGATGTGGAGATGCTGATCCTGTCTCGTACAAGCACAAGTAGGGCTGAAGCTAGCTTGGTGCTAGTGCTAAGACACTGTACTTGTACTTGTCCTTGTACTACGATGGTGCCAGTGACTTGTACCAAGTCAAGATAAAAAGTAGTTTAGGTAGACAATATCTTAGTGGGATGCCATGTGCACATGATGTCAAGGTTCCATCCAAGGATAAGCTAAACTATTCTCGAACCTAGTGTCAACCTTTTTCTGTGCTAGACGCGGTCACTACTCAACGCGTGGAGTGGTGAAAGTCCGCTTTGGCCTCCACTAACGGACTCCTGCCTGCTGTCCATTGACTGACTCAAACCCTCACAAACCGGTGCTCACAATCTCACCGTTAAATCACTGCCACTGCCATGCCTCGACATCTCAAGCGTCGCGCTGACGCAATCTCTCGTGACCAGTCCGAATCAGAACCCGAACCTCCTCCAAGACGGCGCCCAAGCACACCTTCAGACTCGGACGCCGCTTCATCAGCCTCCTCCGCACCCGCCTCTCCCTCCCGAGCGCTTCACTCCACAGAGAAGCTTCTTGTCAAGAAACTTGTCCGTCTGGCCCTCGCGACGGAATACTCACGTACCCCCCTGCGGCGGAGCGACATCTCCCAAAAGATCTTCAAGGATGCAAATAGCAGCGGGGGTCGGGCGTCGTTCAAGAATGCCTTCGAGGGAGCCCAGCGCGTGTTGAATGATGTGTTCGGGATGCAGTTGATGGAACTTCCTTCCAAGGAGAAAACAACCCTGAAAGATCGCCGGACACAAGCGACGCAGACAAAGTCGTCCATGACCAACTCTTCCAAGTCGTGGATACTCGTCTCGACGCTCCCGGCCGAGTTGAAACAGAATCCTGTCATCGCACAGCCCACACGTGCGCCCAGCATAGACGTCGAATCCAGTTACACGGCCCTCTACACATTCATCCTCTCCCTGATTTACCTGAACAACAATGCGGTTGCGGATCAGAAGCTAGAACGCTACCTCAAGCGCGTCAACGCCGACACCTATACACCGCTGGGCAATAAAGATAAGCTGCTACAGAGGATGATGAAGGAGGGATATGTGGAGAAACGGAGGGACACGTCTAGCGGCGAGGAGATCATCGAATGGACCCCCGGGCCAAGGGGCAAGATCGAGGTTGGGGTCGAAGGTGTGGCCGGTTTGGTGAGGACTGTCTATGGACATGGAGCAGTCCCTCTATCGCGAGGATCTCAACAGAATAACCCGCGTAGACGGCAACGCGAGGAAGATGACGGAAGTGAAGATGCCAACGGCGAAGAGGCTTCGCGCCTCGTCATGATTGAAGAGGACGAACTCAACGCCAAGCTCTCGAGGAGTCTAGGCATCAAGATTGGGAGAGGTGGTATACCGCAGCGAAGTCGAGGAGGAGGTGATCGGGATGCCGAGGACGATGGCGGGGCTGAAGAGGTCGACGAAGACAGGCAGCAGCCAGGCCCGTCGAGCCGGGGAGGTCAGAGGTCCAGACCCAGCACGTCTGGAAGAGATCAAGGCCGCCGAAGGAGGAATGCCCGAAATGATGACGACGAAGATGACGACTGATTGTTCTTAACTACCTAGTAAGTAGGTAGGTAGGTTAGTACGAACTTACAACCGAGCCTTTTAACGACTTTGTATTCGATTACAGGTGTACCTCGTCCCTTTATATGGGACGGACACACCTCCCCTCCCGTGTCCTTGTATGTGTGATGGATTAGCTACGCTGAGCTATGTAAGCCATGAATGAATGATCCATCCAAGATAGTCGTAGCAATAACCATGACAGGGTGTCACCCCTTTTCCAATTGTGGCTGAGTGCCACAAGAACATGTGCGCACCACATTCGAGATAGATCAAGTGCCATTGACAGGTCGAGGGGTAAAAGGAAAGGACAAGTAGGAGAATGTCCATGAAAAATGAAAAAAAAAAAAACACTAACAATCCAAGTTGGCACAATACAATCCCGAGGCTTCCAGGGCTACAGCCTCACAGCCTCTATGCAGTGCCCCGTGGCTCTATGTAATGCCAATTCGAGATCTTCGCCTGAAACTTCCAGAGTCCACCGGATGTAGTCCTTCTGCTTCTGCTCCGGAGAACGGCAAGGCTGCAGCTTCTGAGCGACTTGCACTACTTTGTGGTGGAGTGCGTCGCACTATGCCGAAGGATATCGGCCTTGCCTTTTTCTGCTTCAGGCTCCAATGGGTTGAGAGGCAGACCGGACACTTGGTTCGTTGACCCGTTGATTGCCCGGTGCTGGATATGGAGCCTGAGGTGGAGCTGAGCATGGCTGGCACCGCTGTCTGCTTGTCCTTGCTGTTTCGCTTCCATTGGCAATGGGGACATCATCTGGCTTTCTGCACTCTGTCCTGTTCCCCAGACCACATGGGACTTGGGATGTCGTCGACATCCTCAGAGGCCACTCCAATGCCAGTGGCTCATTGCCTCCGTCCTCTCAAGGCTCTGGCTGGAAAGGAATCTCAGCCAAACGGCGAATATCCGCCTCGTCCTCCACCTGAACTGAACCTGAAGCCGCCGCCACCGGACCCTCCACCACCCATTCCGTTCATCATATTAAACAACATCTCCGGGTCAATCTGCACACCGCCGCCACCACCACCCATGCCTCCAAACCCACCCCCGGGGTACCCTCCCATCCCTCCGAAACCACCAGGAAAGCCTCCCATACCACCAGGATATCCACCCATACCCATCCCAGGTTCCATCAGGTCTGCTCCCGAATCGTACATGTGCCTCTTCTGGGGATCGAGCAACGTCTCCTTGGCCTCAAGACAGTCTTTAAACTCCTCTTCCTTCTGCTTATCGCCCTGCGTCTTGTCTGGATGCAGCAGTGCCGCTTTCTTCTTGTAAGCCCTCTCGATATCCTTGTCGCCGGCGTCCTTATCTATACCTAGAATCTTGTAGTAATCCTTCCGCTTGGATTTCTTGAGTTCCAACTCGGCGTTACGGAGTTCTTTGGCCAAATCCGCGTCAGTGGGGTTATCTTCGGACAAAGACTTCAGATCTTTAACAGCCTGTTCCCAGTCACCGCTTTCTCCTGTGGCTTTGGCTCGGGTTCTGCGTGCTTTGGTGTAGCTGGGGTCGAGTTTAAGAGCTTGGTCGCAGTCGGCCTTGGCTTCATCGTATTCCTTGATTTTGATCCGGGCTAGAGCACGATTTCCCAACAGTTTGGCGTTTGTGACCTTGTTTGTGGGATCGATGGTGAGAGCTTCCGTGTAAGCAGTGACGGCGTCGGAGTATTTGCCACGCTTGAACATGTCGTTGGCGGCTGTTCGGGCTCTATCTAGCTTCTTCATTGTTCGCAACCAGTTCCGCGCATCGGAGTTGTCAGGATCGAGTGCCAGTGCTTGTCGGAAGTAATCTTCGGCTCGTTCATAGTCGCTCTTTCCCTGTCTAGGCTTATCGTCCTTGAGGTAGAATGCTCGGCCTGCGAGAACAATAGCTTCGGCGTCCATAGGGTTTTCACGCATCAGATTCTGCGCAATGCCCTGCACCTCGCCCAGGGCATTCGCGGACCCGATCTTCAAATTTGCCTTGGCTTTGAGAAGCTGCCATCTTCTCGGTGTGGGGGTGCCCGATCCTAGTGTTTGACGTGCCTGTTCAATGCTCCAAAGCGCCATGTTACCATTTCCGTCCTCTGCGTCGATTTGCCTCTCCGCCATTTCGATTGATTGTAGGGCTTTGCGAGCCAACGCAGTGTCTGTGGCAGACGCATTAGGGATTTTAGCGTACGTATCCAAGGCATCTTGCGGACGTCCTAGAGAGGTGTAGATTCGAGCAAGACGGTGTAAAATCTTATCGTTCTTGGGATCCAACCGGTTGGCCTGTAGTGAATCACCGAGCGCCTGACTGTATTTGTTGGCGGAGATGTAGGCTGCGGCTCGGTTTGACAGATACGTGGGATTCGAGGGCTCTGCTTCGACGGCTGTGCGAGTGTGTGTATTTGTCAGCTTGTCAGGTCTTGGAACCTCAACCATGGATGAGTGCCAAACATACCTTTTGTATACTCGACAATGGCCCGATCATAATCCTTGGCCTTGAAGAATTTATTTCCTGCGGCCTTGCAGGCCTCGGCATCGACTTTGGGTGCAGGGGGAACGCGGTGTGGAGGAGGCGTGGGACTTCGCTCCTCGTGTTGCCCGTTGGTGCCGTTGCTCGTGGCATCGCTGTTGGCCTGGTCGGAGAAGGCGCCAGGGACTTCTTTCGAGGGAGTGGCCGGCTGCGACGAGCCTGCGGTGCCGTTGGACATGGAGGAATCGTGGTTGTTGGTGTCTGCAAATTCTCGATCCATGGACATTCTGCCGGCCGACTCGGCCTCTTGCCTGGCCATTTGAGCCAGATGTTGACGGAGTTGGTCAGGAGGGAGATTCAGTGGGTGGGTGTCTGGGTCGGAGTTATTTCTAAACTTCTTCTTTTCCTTGTCCTTGTCCTGCTTCTTGGGTGATTTTGACTTCCGCATGGATGTTGGATTTGAGCCAGTGGGAGGAAGGGCGACTGCGGGTGGGGCTGAGGCAAAGGCAGCACGGCCAGAGCCTGTTGTGCCCGCGGTGCGAGTGACACCGGCAGCGGCAGGAGGACCAAGTTTGCAGTTGATGCTTGTTTCGGGAACTCCCTCTGCGGCTTCAGACACACCCTTCCGCCGCCCAGGCTCTTGCTTCTTTGTATCTGCAGCGTTGATGGATCGTAGGAGGGCCCGTAGATTCTGCTCAGTCAAGGGTGCGGGAGCCGCCTGGCCAGATTTAGGCTTTGACTCCTCGGTGAACAGCGGGAGGGGTGTCGTGTACGACGTCGAACGGGTTGGGGACTTCAGTTTGCCGGTTGAGAAATGATCTCGAAGGTGGCTACGAAAACTGGCAGGACGAAAGAAGGTGTCGTGCTGATGACTCTCGCTTTCGTCGTCGTTGCTCTCAGGCATGTCCTGGTCGAAATCTCTAGAAATTTTGCAGGTTTTGGTGGGACGGTGATTAATCCCGGGCTGGACGCCGGGGTCTAGAAGATTGCCTCGTCGGCCCTCACCACTCCTCGTGGTCCTCCCACTTTGGCGCCTGTTGGCGTGGGTGTTGGTGTTTGCCATAGGGCCATTAGGCGCACTTTCCCCCTGAGGCTTTGGCGGCTTGGGCCTGGAGTCTGCGCCGCCCACTACTGGTCTCCGCGAGCCCAAAGGCATCTTATCGAGCCTCGCTTGACGCTTCCGTCTCTTCGCCTGTTGGCTCCCCTGAATTTGGTCGAACGAATGATCAGTCGGGAGGTCACTTGTTTCTCTTGCACATGACACTGAAAAGGGCCCTGCTCAGTCTTGGAACAGTCAGTGAGACGCTCAGTTGTTTGGTGGATGGGGAGATCGAGGTGAGGCAGGCCAGGGGAACAGCTTCTGAGGCTCATCTCTGTATCATAAGGGATAAGACGTCTTGTAGAATCCTGTCTGACAAAGAGAAATCAAGACTACAAGCTCAAATTGGGACGAGAGTCGTGCATCGGGTAAACTGCACTCAGCTATGTGTGAATAGGCGAACTCTGAGACCTCGCCACATTGACAATACAAACATTCAAACCAGCAACCCAGCAAACAAGCGAGATCCCTGAACCTGCGACGATGACTGAACCAAGATCCAATTGCTATAGCCTCTCTCGTCCCTTGTTCCTTCCTTTGATATTGCACACTTCCCACAATGATACAGGTCTAAAAATACAGGCAAGATGGTCTCTACACACACGTCGAATCTCTGCAGTTCGACCCTCACTGTGAGTTGCTCTTGCATGTCCAGCTGCTTCCGCCGGGCTCATTGCTGATGGCGTATCCGCTGGCATACAGTCCCATTCCACAGATAGCGGCACCCATAGAGAACAACAAGACGTTGACCACGGTCAAGGTCATCTTCCTCCAATTCGTGGTATATTGGCCATAGTTGAGGAACAGCCAGAAAATGCCGGAAATACCATAGGTGAACCAGGAGGCAAACAAGCTCGAGATCAGAGCCAGGAGATCATTGAAGTTGGGAATGGATTCCGCAATGATCCACGCAATCACCCACGCCGTCAATGTGATGGCGAGCCAGCTGCCCACCGAAAGCACAGTCCTCTTGGACATATGTTTCGTTCCTCGGAAGAGGCGAACATAGACATACTTGGAAGCAACATGGCCATAGATGACACCAGCAATGATGATCGTCGGAATGGCTAGGCCCCAAGCAACCTTGCCAACGAGTGTTCCAGCGGATCCCAAGGCTGGTGAATCAACCTCATCTCCACCATAGGCATAAACCACCATCGCGACCAGGAAATACATGCCGGTGTCGGTAATCTGCAACATGACCAAAGCCTTGGGAAAGTCGTGCGGATTCTTCATCTCGGAAATGAAACTGAAGAAAGCTACGTGACCGGCATATGCAAACACAATGTTGGTGACACTCAGAAATGCTGTGGCAAAAGTTTCAGTCTGAGTAGCGTGGAAATGGCCATGGGAAGGATCTCTGGCTCCTGTTCCTGCCATGGTGACAATCACTGCGGTCGTGATGCTGAAAAAGCTCACACAGGAAAGCCACGAGACTTTCAGCAGAGTCCTAGGAATGTCGAAGACCCAGAAGAGAATCAACCCGACAATACCCCAAACAATGGTGCAGGCCGCACCGTCGGTCAGTGTATTCAGACAGATGGTCCAAGTCAAGATATGACTCGCCATGCTGAAAATGAGGAAGATGGTTTGCGCAGCACCCAGGAACTCGCGGCCGACAGCAGCTGCGCGTGGTCCCATAGGCTTGAAGAGAACGTAACCGGCATCTGCCATGTTATGGACCTAGATGAATCACATTAAGTATGTGCTTTCTCAAGGTTGCTCGAGAACAGAGGAATCTGCCTACCCAAGGATGTGCTGCCTTGAATTGTCCAATAACATATCCTGAGTAAGTTGCCACAACACCAAGTCCAACGATGAGGATGGCGCCTGGAACCATACCAATAGTGGCCAGGACTGATGGCAAAGACAGGATTCCCAAAGAGATCGTTTCGGCAATCATAACTGAAGAAGAAGGAATACCATGTCAGGTCGACGGTGGCGTTGTCAAAGTCGAGGAGAACTCACTCATACTACACTGCCTGGAGCGCGCGAAGACATTAGCATATCGTTGTTCATGGGATGCACAGTAGCTGGTGTACTCACCACCACTCCAAAGTCCGATACTTGACTCCTCCTTCGTCGTCATCATCACCGAAGGGATCTGTCTCTTGATACTCACTTTGGCGCCGCCAGGCAGTGCCCAGTGAAGAACGTCTCTTCTCCGCTGGGGAGTTCTTATCAGAGTGTCCATTACCCGGGTAGGGTGGGTTGTCAAGACCATGGATGTCCTTCTCTTCATCCACACCAAAAGGGTCGGAAGAGGCACGAAGTGTTGGCGATCGAGAGGCCATTCTGTGTGTTATTGTTCGAGTAAAGCAACCTAGAGTTCCCTACACAAGAGATGAGAGTTCACACATGGCGAATTGAGACGTGGACTATATGGTATATGACCACAACTATGCTGACGGTGCAGTGATCGACAGAGGCATCATGGGTCTTGTCTCCCGTGTGTTGCACAATGATGCCATAGGCAGCATTCCATTACCTCTTGAATTTGGTACCTTCGACGTCACGACAGCCTTGCACGGCGATCCCCATGGAGGTGGGATCGCGATGGGGACGGAGAGAGGGGCAACGATCGTCCGGCGCATGTCCGTACTTGTATATCCCTGGCGTCGGATTCATAAAGGAGCCAATACTTGAGAAGCCTTTTGACAAGCTTTTGCCAGGGCATTGTTTCGACGAAGCAAAGGCTTGGGAGTGACTGCGGCGATGGTTTAAGTGTTGTGTTTGTGACAAGAGGGGAAGACATTCGATGTATATACGTCATTGCGGCGATGGGTAAACCACAAGCACCGAGTAATTACCAAGCTACATACGAGGTATACAAGTTGAAGATCCGGTGCAAAGAAAAGCAAGGTCCAGGCCCGCAAGTCACACCCAGCCAACTCAAATTCTGTATTGCTACATACACAGATCGACTCCCTAAACAAGACGTGTATACAAACCATATCATTATAAGGGCATCGCTAACTCGCACACATTCAACCCCATCCATCCACGAGCATCGAAACATTGGCGCCAAGTGAGTCTGCTGTATTTATTCACTCCATTTCTGCTGGTCCATTCTGTCTCAGTGATGGATGAGGGCCTTGCACCGTCCCTGCGTCCTTTTCCACGGGCTCCTGAATGGCAGGTTTTGATTCTTCAGGGCCGAGCTTGGCTGGCATTTCCGCAGCCTGAGGAGTACCTCCCAGTTCCGGTGTATTTTGGGCAGCGGCAATGCTGTACGATGGTAGAGAGTCTTTCTCGGGAATTTCCATGCCCACATTTTGTCTGTGCTGACGACGAGAACGAAGCCAAAAGAAGATCACGGCGCCGACGATTGCTACACCAGCGACCGCTGCTATCGCAATTCCTGCGATAGCACCACCAGACAAGCCCGTGCTTTTGTTATCATCTTCGGTCACAGTGGGATCGGAGGTGGGAAATGCTGTCGCGGTTGTGCTTGTTTCGGGCGGGGGCGTGGTGGTAGTAGTTGCTGCCTTTCTGACAGTGAAGAGCTCGCTGAGGCCTGATTCGGCCCATCCTCCGTCTGGCTCGCTCTTAGTGGCGTTTCCTGCTGGTCTGAACAACCCAATTAGTTCGTTGTCTTTGCTCACTTCACATTGTCACTCACCCTCCACCAATAGCTTTGACAACGTCATCCGGCACGTCAAACTTTGGTGCTGCGGCGTCGAACACGCTACCCCATCCGATAGTACTCAGATCAAGCACGGCTAAACTCTTATCTTCCCAATCACAATCGGACGAGATGTTGTGGCTTTCTGTCAGACGTCGTCAACAAACTATTCACATCACATTTACTTGGAATACTCACTTCCACCTCCACCAATTGTGATCATCTGCCTGGGTGGAATAAAATGACATGTCACGCTCCAGCGAGCATCCTGCCCAGTGTATACCTTAACCCAGGTGAAGGAGGGAAGACTGAGAACGTAAATATCATCGAAGATTGTACCGTTGGAAGTACCGCCGTAGAGATAGACGCTTGAACTGCTGTTATCCTGGGCAGGTGCAGCAACCAAACAGAAATCCGTGCGTCCAGTTGGAGGGATGTCGCCTGTTGCTGTCTGTTTGTACCACTGGTTCTTACCAGGGGAGGGGTTATCACTTAGGTCGGTGGAGTTGACATCGAAAACCCAAATCTCGTCCATCGAAATCAGGCCGTCTGCTTGAGTTTCTCCGCCAAGGAGGACCAGCACTCCAGCGTCGCCAAAGTTGTCGACATACACCATCCCAGCACCTTGTCGATTGCTCTTGACTTCATCTTCGACTGTGATGTTCTTGATCCTGTTACTAGTTGTATCGATAACCACCATCCCACCAACACCCACGGTATCATCCTCCAAAAACTGAGTGGTATTTGCTGTTCCACTGTCAATCTGGCCTCCCACGTAGAAGGCAAGTCCCTGGTCTGGAGCCTCGGTGTTTGCTCCCCACGACGGTATCGTGTCTAGGGATCCGGAAGTGTCGATAGCTGCCCACACGTCGGCGCCCATGTCATAGGTCCACAGGGCGTATTGAGTTGTAGGCGGGACTAGGAAGTTGGGGAAAGTTTGATTGAAACCCGACGTTGTCCCACCAAACATATAGAGTGTTGTAGATGACTCCATTCCTCCAAAGAGGGAGCCGTCATGAACATTCACCGGCCACTGCATGCCCGCGACGCTACCACTTTCCCGTCTGGCATTCTGGGAGATGGACACGTTCGTTTTCCAATCCCAAGAGGCGGTCATGTCAACCGAGATCAGGTTTTCGTCTTTTGAGGTGACTGTTAGTGAAACGATATCTCCCACGGGGATGCATGAACGCACTGATGCCTGACGTGATCGTATTCCAGTCTTGTTGTCCGTTTGCGCCAAAATCCACATAAGTTTCGATACCACCATTGATATAGATCGTTCCATTCTTGTAGAGAGCTGAGAATCCATTAGTATAACCGCGAATACCATTGTTCCTTCAGATACTAACAACTATGTCCGATTCTCCTGCAAAAGTTCTTGACGGGATCGAGGGCGACTCCTGCGCGAACGACATCGAGTTGAGTTATTGCAAGGAGACCGAGAAGCAAAAAACGATGGCTCATGGAGCCATAAGAGATATCCATTGCGACAGCCAGCTGCCCGAAGAAAGTGGACAGAACGATCAACAAAGGAGAATTGAAAAGGCAAAACTCCGTGCTGAGGCACGAAACAGTAGAAAGAGCGACGAGAAGCAAACGTATTAGAGCTGTTGATGGCCTTTGTGCCAGTTCGAGTAGTTTTAATTGCTGATCCCTGGGTCAATCCTTCATTTCCCGTGTCAGCCCTAACGTGACTAGAGGAATGGTTGACGAGGCTAGGAGGATGGGGCCACAAGAAGCTATTGGTCAGGAACAACTCAGAGGCTCAGTCCAGAAACCACATGGTGTCTGTGATGCAAAGCTCAAGGAGCGATCCCCTCCAAATGAGCTGCTGAAGGTCTCGGGGACTCGAGAGGTGGTGTGCTCGAGCGACCCATTTTTAGGGTGAACGGCCACAATCTGTAGCTACTAGTGAAGCTCACTCAGCCTCATGAAGCTTTGTGATGGACTTGTGCCAGTTGGTTTACTGGTAAATCACAGATCGTGTCGAGAAAATACAGGCTAATGCATCAGGGGAACAGGAATCGCTCTTCATCAAGCTCCGAAGGATCATATCGTGGTGACATTAAGTGATACAACTACCTGTTCTAGATAGGAGGTCATGATCAGGGTTGAATGAGGAGGTTGGTCAACCCCAGACCTTGACAAAGTGTGAGCACTCGGTACAAGTTGAGGACACCGGGTGAGAAGCCCAAACAGCTGAAAGGTAATCAATGTGACTCTGCCGAGTAGGTATAGAAGGATTCCGCGGACGAAGGTTGAATGTTTCAGACTTGGACCTGCGTTGCAGGACGCGAGTTGGCGCGGTGCGCTAGGAGATCATGTGACTGCGCGTTTTGGACGTGGCGTTGTCAGTGGCTGGTGTCCCGAGGCTGAAGCCCGTTATGGTGCCCGTTGGCGCTGTTGTTTACGTTTCTGACGTAAGAAGGCAGTTGTTCAAGCTCTCTCCACTAAACAATCGATTCTTACCCATCGTGCCATCTCGAAATCCTCCACCTCAAACAGACTACACCGCCTGAATCGGTTTCGAAATCCCACACCATCTTTGTTCTTCACACACTTTATTGCTTTCGATTTCATATGCTCTAGATTCTGGGGAAGCTATTCAGATGGCCACTCCCCGCCGTCGCTCGGCTCGATTGAGCAAGGCAGCCCAGCAACAGGTAATGTTGGCCAATCTGCAACCATATCAATTCTCTATCACAGTTCAATGCAATGTAATCGATATCTCTCAATGGCTTGGAGCTAATAATCTTGCCTACAGCATGCCTCTCCTCGCAAGGGTGTCTCTACCGTGCAGCTTGAATCTCTCGTAGAAAGAGATGAAACTCCGGAAGTCGGCGAACCACAGTCTATCGACAATGTGCTTGCGACTCCAACGTCGTCAGCCATGATCAAGTCACAGCTTTCCAAGTTATCTGGTCTGAAGACCCCCAAGACCGAACCACAAGCCGATCGAGCCGAAATGCACCCTCATCTCGTTCATCAAACCACCACCAAAGCTCCGGATTCTGGCCTCAAGCTGGGGTTTGTCGATGTGCCAGCCCATGTTCCTCGCTCCGTTGCAAGTGCCCAGAACACTCCTTCCAAAGCGCGTTTCAACACCTCGACAAGCTTATCTTCCACTGCCTTTGACTTCAACTTTGGCTCAGAATCCCAGTTGAGCAGCCAGGCACAGAAGCTCATGGATAATGTTCGGGAAGAGGCAGCGAAGATCAAGGCTCAAATGCAACTGGAGAGGGAAGCCCAGAAACAGAAGGATGCAGAGGCTGAAGACATGTTCAATGGCACCAGTGCCACTGGAAGGAAAATCGCGAAACCCAGGGGAAAGGCAGGAAGATTCAGCGACGTCCATATGGCTCAATTCAAGAAGATGGACTCGATTGCGAATCATCCATCAGCTTTCCGGGGAAAGCCAAGTTTCGCTCAGCCTACAGCACAATCCCTGAAGAGAAGTGGCTCCAAGGCTGGTCTCGATGAAGCCGATCGACCGCGAACTGCTGGGAAGGGAACCCCAGGTCGAAAGCCGCCTCCGTTCCTTGGTCGACCTACCTCAGTCAGTCCCTTCAAGTCCATACCGGCACAAGCTGAGCGTGTCGAGACTGCCACACCTGCCAAGCGTGCTCGACGCTCCGAACTCGACGACGTATCCGCAAGTCGACCATCAGAGCTGACCTCGCCAATACGCCCTTCCGCCTTGCCTCGCCCAGTCCCAAGCAGCCTCTTGTCACCCACCAAAGCCTCTTTAGCTAGGGCGACAACAAGTCAGATCCCCGTTGCTACGCCGAACAAAGTACACGCACTTGTTCGCACAACTTCGGCGAAGTCACTGCGAGCTGCGTCAACGGCTCCCATTGGGAGACCTTCCACCTCACATGGAGAGTGCAGCACCAAACTTTCATCAGGACTGCAAGAGACGGGAAATTTACGGGTTGAGAAGCCACTGCCCCCATTGCCACGTCAGGATCTTCCATCTGTTGCCAATACCGTGACGAAACCAAGGTCGATTGCCGAGACTGGTGCGATACCCAGTTCCTCGGGCCTTTCTTCCAGACTTCCAAAATTTTCTGGTCTCAAATCCATTCTTCGCTCTGGGCGCAAGACCGACGTTGTACCGTTGATTGAGGATAGGCAAGCAACACCTAAGCGCCCTAATACTGCCACCACTGTCAGTGGCTCCCACAAGAAAGTCGACTTCACTCCTAGTGTCAAGTCTAGATATGCTGTCAAACTGGCAGCTGGAAGTCCAAGCCCTGCCAAACTACCGCAACTCACGCCTGGCAAAGCGCTGGCTCCTGTTGTGCCCTATGATTCAGCTGCCTACACTGTCGAAGAAGACGATGTATGGGAGGATGCATCAAGCGAGATCGAGTACCCTGCATTGCCAGATCCATCCTCGAGCCCGGCTGCCGCTTCCAGGGTCGATGAAGCGTTTACCGAAAAAGCCAAAGAGCATAGCCGCCGCGAGTCAAAGGATTTCAAGTCCATCTTCACGACATTGCATCATCCTTCTCGTTCTAGCGCTCCTTCGACCTTGACATCTGTCAATACATTAGTCAACAAAGCTGGCCCAACCGTTCGTTCGTATAACCAAGTTACTCGATCCCCTAGCAATCTGAACTTCTCAAACCCTTCTCCGTCGACTATTCGGCGAGTGCGTTCCTCTGGTGTTACAGATGTGATCCAACCTTTCGAGGATGCAGACGTCAAGACTGTACCACACGGTTTGCCAGGCAAGAAGCGACGACGTGCGTCAACGGTCTCTGATGATCAACAGAGCACAGATGGAGAATCTAGCAAAGAGAATCGGCGTTTTTCAGTGATGCCCAGTGTCCCGGGTGGATGGGAAGACAGCTCTCGTATTAGTGACAGATTTGAGCAAGACGAGGGTGAGAAGCGGGGTGGGAAGCGACAGCGGACTAACGCGACAACAAGAGACTTGTCCGACGAGTCGATTTCAAAATCAATGAGCCCGATCAAGAAGCCAAGACAAAGTTCTGCTCGTGAGATGGCGAAGCTGAATGCAAAAGATCGCAAGAATGGTCGAGGCATTTTGAGTCTCAGCCGTTTGAACATGCTTGCCCGGCCCAAGCAGAGAGGCTGAGCAGCATCTCACCTGGTCTTTTCAGATTTCCAGACCATCAATCGCTGGGATGCGGACAATGCTGGATCGAGCTGAATGCCGGCATACCCTCGCTGCTCCCTATCGACTGCCTCTTGGACGCGATGTTCAGATTTGTTCAGCTCTTTCGGAATTTGTGTAACTTTTTGATTCTTTTGGGGATATGCGTGGCAATGGGAACGGTTGGATCTGGAGTCAGGGGCTAGCTTTGATGCAAAAAAGTTCAAGATCAATTTTCAGGGATCAAACAGGGATCACAGGATACGGAACTCACTTTATGGAAAGTACGATTGAGACTTTTGGCTATCACCATTCAATCCAGCAAAGTCCCAATATGAACTTGAGTTCTTGGGAAAGGGGATGTTTGGGTATTATGGTCACCAATTGAATTGCGAGAACACAGAGTCTTGTGATGCTGCTCCATTGATGGGAGCGGACACTGAGCACTCTGGCAAAATCTTTGGGAATGACAGCCATGGGATTGATGCATTTGATGCATTCCACGACTCGATACGAATGAAACTTTCAATGAATCAACTTGTTTCGGCATTTGTTGTTTTTCTGCTTGTCCGCCACTAGCCCATCCATCCAGCCATCCAGTCATCCACTAGAGACAGGGGTTCTGTATATACAAAGACAAGACAAAGAATAGTATGAATCGCTCGCCATGCTCGTAAGCCATCGTAATGGCGTTCGTGGTTCGCCTCGCCCACTTGGACTGACCACCTACATACATATAGGGCCAAGATGGAAATATCATAACCCCTACCCTTCCCTCTCGTGGCAAACCCTCTTTCGCCCTCCCTCGCTGTGCTTCTGGCCTCTTGAATCACCGGCACGCACATCAGACAGCACCCTGGCAACCTCTTAACGGGGTTGACAACCCATTCAGCCTCACTCGCAGTTATCACTCCAAGAGGCTTGTCGGTTTCAAAACTCGCGGATTTTCTTTGCGAGAGTGACCCTGGACCGTCGCCGCCTTTGAATCATGTTATATGTCGGTGGATGATGGGGTGTTGGTGTCGGATTCAAAAAAGTACTTAGGTATACTTGTACGAGACGAGACGAGACGAGAGATGGTCGATCAAGGCCGAACGAAAGGGAAATATGCTGGTGGTGCCATAACTGTGTAATATTCAGCACGTATCCGCGTGAGGCTCTTG